TTTGTTTTGGCGGCAGCAGCGCCTGTTTGTGACACTCGGTCGCCTGCACGGGACCACCTGATTAGCACAGCATCGCCCCCCCTCCCCCACCCACCTAAGAAGCACCCTATACTATAACCATTTTAGCATTGAGCATTTTTGATTCCCTTTTTTATGGAACCCCAGACATGACATGGTAGTTAGCCGTTGACCTGAGGTGACCCCGTGATGTTGATTTCTTAGCGTTTCTTGTTTTATGACGAGTCAGCAATTATACCCACTTGCAATGATTAAAAACTAAAATTGTCCATAAATACAGAAGAAATTTCCCCATGACAAAATCGACCTCTGGAAATGGAGAAAATGACCCTTAAAATGTCTGATTCACGACACGAATGCCATTTGTATTTCTATGTTTAGATGTTTCATCTCTCCGTTTTTTTGACCATTTCTCATGGCTTTGTTACAGCTGCAGCGGTTGTGAAGTCTCTATATCACAGGTGTCAAAGTCAAGGCCCGGGGGCCACATCTGGCCCGCCACATTATTTTATGTGGCCCGCAAAAGCAAATCAAACATGGCAACTTCCGTGATTCCTGCTAAAATATTGACCAAAATTTCAAATTCTCAAATGTAATAAATAAGAGACATATTGTAAGCATTTTCTTGTTGCCAAACACCTCATTACAGTAACTTAAACAACTGAATGAACTGTTATCCTTGACTTCTTTAGATGATTTCAGTCATAATGGCCCTCCAAGGGAAATGGTAATTAAAATGTGGCCCCCGGCGAAAATGGGTTTGACACCCCTGCTCTATATAAATAAAGCTGCATTGTATTGTATTGTATTGTATTGTATTCCCTTTAGTGTAGCTCCATCTAGTGGATGCATTGAAGGACTGCAGCCAATATTATAGCTTCTATTCTTTGCTTCTGATAATGCGGAGCATCCTACATATGAAAACCGTTTTAAAATAGGCCATTCATTGAAGGTGCACATTATAATCCGAAGCGCCTTATAGTACAGAAAATACAGTAGTTTCTCTGTTGATGTAGTCCTAAAACACAATATTTTATGAGCCTTGAAAGATCAGTCAGACTCCTCCAACTTGACGGGCACGCCATATATTCCCTTTTTCTAAGATGGCTGGCATTGAAAGATTGAATCGACCCCCAAGTTATGGCTCACGATCCCCCTGAGGGTCTTTGACCCTCAATTTGAGAGCCGCCTCGGTAGGACAACTCACTCCCACACAGCGAAAGCAGGCAGGTCTCCAAACTGCATCCTGGTCTGTCAGGAGACCCTCGCTCGTGCCCCTGCTGGGGGGCACCTCACTTCTGCTCCCCTTGCGTAAAAGCGGTATGTGGAAAAAACATCTACCGTGTCTTTGTGGATGTAAATCTCACCCCCCCACCATCCCTCCTTTTACCCCGTTCTCATCCCCACAACCTACCCCTCCCTCCAAATCAATGCCGCCCCTCTCTGACCTCCCAGCACAAACCCCCTCGCATCTAAACCAGCCCAGAAAATCACAGTGCACCATTCAATCATTGTGTTGTTTCTCCTTTTTTTTTTTTTCGCCCTCTCTCACCCCTTTTATGGTCCCGCTAAAGGTTTTAGGCTCGCAGAGAAGGAGGGCTGTCACTGAGGAAACCTTAGCCATTGATGAAGTGACAGGCGCTGCCAGAATATGATCCTAATCCTGTTTCCAGCATTCTTTTAGGCCCGCTGGCATCGCAATTCCTCCACACATTCTCTGAGCTGTCAACTAGGAAAATCCCTCTAATAGCGCATTGCAGAGATACACATCAAAGAGCTCCTGGAAACCTTCAGCGGCTTAGCGCGCGCGCACACACACACACACACACACACACACACACACACACACACACTCCAACCGTGGCGCAAATGAAACTCAAGCGTTGAAGGTAAATGGACCTCGTATTTAAAAAGTGCATCTGCTAAAAAAAAAAAAAAAGGTGTGTGGCCTTGTGTAATTACGAAAACACCAACCATTTCCTTTCTAATCTAAGAAAGTGATCTAATATAGTTTATAGCAACGACGAGTCTTCAGTCAAGATTTACCACACTTAATCCACCTTTTCATACAACAAAACTGACAAAAACATGAAAGAAAAACTTGTAAAATTCACGAAACTCACCAGGGATGCTGTTCATTGAATGTATTCATGACTTTAGAACGCTGCCAACCTGTTTTGCTAGTCGATCTTGGCTCGCTTTGACCAACCAATCAGAGGGCGGGAAAATGCTGATGTCATCAAGGGCCGGCTAACTCTCTAGTTCTGTGAAATCTGATTGGTTAAAGCAGATGTCTCATTACTCTTATAGTTTGTTGCGTTTGCCCGCACTCCTGATTGTGAAGGACCTGGGCAGATTACATTCACATAGCAACACAGAGGCTGAAATCTGATTGGACAACAAAAAAAAATGAAAATAACAATATACACCTTCTGGAGACAGTTCAGTCAGGAGAAACACCTACAATACAGAGAACAAACTTTTAGGATGAAATTGATCTCATTTCATGGAACAAAAGTGAAAAAATATAAATAAATTTCAGTTACCATAAGAAAAGGCCTTGCTGGTTTCTAGTGGTGTGGTTCGGAAAAAAAAAAAGCAGCTGTGTGAACTCTGCTGACTGCATGAACCCTTTTCACTCCCATTTTATCTCTTTCTATTCTTACTTAATCCATCGATATCCCGACCCAAGGTAATCTTCTTATGGCAAAAGCGTTCGGTTTCGGTGCAGCCAAACCTCAGCTGACAAGATGGATGTGGATTGAGGGAGGGGCAAAAAGGGGTGGGGGGGGTGTCGGATGGATGGGTGTGACACTCCCGCTTCGTTCAGGATTAGCTCGAGTGCGACGGCAGAACCAGCGACAGGTTCTCCCCCACGCGCCACGTCGTGAACCTCAGCGTCGAGGATGTGCGGGACGTCTGTGTGTCGGGAATTATTTACGGGTTTGCGGGATGAAAGCAAACTGCACCGTTTGTGTGGTAGAGCAGGTCGAAGGCGGTGCCCGTGTGTGGCAGAGCAAATACTCAGTTGTTTTTAATTCCAAAAACTGCTCGATTATTAGAAAAAAAAATTGATTTTTAGTTTATCTAAAAAAAATTATTCAAATCATCACCCAGATACACACAATTGGAAACACCACCATTCCAAACTTTTTGGGGGGGGGGTCACCTAAAATGTCCTTATTTTTTTTGTCAATGAAGATATTAAATTAATCTGAAATATTGTCTTTAAAAAGAAAAACTTTCTTCTCAAAACAACCAAATTCTCATAAAATGACCCACCCCCTCCAAAAAAAATCTTTAATCACCCAAAAATGATATGACTTGATTCTTGTTTTTTTTTTCCAATGTTTTTGTGACCCTATTGTTGGAGGTTATTGCTCCCGTTTATATTAGACTGGGAAACAAGAGAAGGCAAACATATTTTCATCTCTCAGGCTTGATTTATTTCCTCACATTTCACAGATAAATTACTCCTTTTTTTTCTTCAACAATTGAAAGATACACATCTTAAATGTACAGAGATAATATACATAGACTTGGCCAGCTCATGTTTACTCCCGTCATTGTTTGTTTTTAAAGCGACAAGTTGTAGAATTTTGACCGCTTACGTCTTTTTTTTTCTTTTTTTTTTTTTTTAATTTGTGGTGTAAAATTTTGGTGGACCAGCCAGGACACTTGGCACATTGCGCTTACATTGATGCTCATGTTTGCAGTTTGCTCAAATAAGACGGTGCTTATTTCAAGATTTTGGATCACGACACAGATGACTTTCTATTTTTAGTCTTTTAGCACATACTTTCATTGCTTGACTTCAAGAAGGGTATGTCGAAGTGGTACATCTTGACTAAGAGACAAGCTTTGTATGTCAGGGAGCTAAGTTTAGCCTGGGTTGTTACAGAGAGTCTTTGTCGCATGCAGTTGGCCACTTCAGGTACTTTTTTTTTTTTTTAATAAACCAAGTCATCTGGAAGCCATATTTTAAAGGGTAATCTCATAAGATAAGTTGAAAAGATATAAACATAGTTTGTTTAAATGATTACTATATGAATTATATTAGGGAGGGTCATCAATTAGTTGTGATTTTTTTTCACTGTTTGTGAGAGGTGCGGATTACTGTATATATGATTTTTAAAAAAAAAAAATTATCAATCTACACTTTACATCAATTGATGGAGCCCTTGGGCAAAAAAAAAAAGAAGTTTTTTTCCTTACTGTTATGAATGATGTCAATCATTTTTATCTGAAGTTCAAGCCCAAAAAATAATGTCAACAAACACTTTTCGGAATTACTTTGGATTATTGTGACCAATTTGTATCTGTTTTTTTCAAACTGCAACGGTCCACCTGTAAGCCTTGCTTCAGTGCGATGTTTGCATGCATACTTCTGGCTTATAAGAGAGTATTTCATTCTGTAGCAAAAGTAGAATCGGAAACACAACAATATCCACAAGCAGAGAGTACAGTGAACCCCCACTTATTCACTATTCACCTTTTTTTTTTTTTTTTTTTTTTTTTAAATTCTTTTCCGGAAACTATTGCCTATTTATTTGCTGGAAAAATTCACCTATTCTGGATCATCGTGTAGCCAGGGAAGTATACTCAAGTGACTGGAGTTTGAACGGCCCTCTTGTGGCATATACAAACAATTACAACCATTTTTTTGGCATCAATTGTGGATTTTTGCTATTCGCGGCAGGGTTCGGCCTCCATCCCACACAGATAGCAGGGGTTCACTGCACTACAGTTCAGTGGATTCATCTTCGTTTTTTTTTTTTTTTTCTTTTTTTTTTTTTTAGTTCTCTTTTTTTGTTCCCGGCACACACATGCTCATGACGGAGGCCTTTTAAAAGAATGAAGCCAGATGGAAAGTTCAAATCAAGGTAGCATCTGAAAGCCGTGTAGAGTTTTTGTGTGCAGGCGAGAGGTTGCGTGTGGTGGTGGGCCGCGGGGGGAGTCCCCCACGCTCGGATCGAAGGGCAAACACAGAGGGCGAACGCACTTGGCATCGAAGCGCCTTCAGTTGGGGAGCGTGTCCAATCCCAGCGAGGCCGCATGCTGCTTGGCCCTCAGCCGGAGATTCTCGATACTGGTGGTCTTGCTATTGAGGCTTCCCGGAAGGCCGCCCGATGCCCCCGGCAGCAGCGGGCTGTTCCACACTTGTTGTGCTTGAGACAGCGTCTGGTAGTAAGACTGGCAGGGCAGCGAGCCCAGCGGGGACGACATGTTGACGTTCATGCCCAAGTAGGGCAGCGAGGACGGCGCGCTCATGTCGAAGGACGGGTAGTGTACCAGGTTGTTGGTGGCCGCCATGTGTTGGCGGAATTGCTCCTGCAGCCGGAAGAGGCTGAGAGGTGACGAGGCGTACGAGTTGCTTTGGGCCGGACCGCTCGGCATGCTGCTGGAGGACGGCAGGGCGGGTGAGCTCAGGGGGGAGTCTGAGAGACGGGAAGAGGGTTTTAGTTACTTCACATCAACAGTCTGTGACAGGAATGTATAGTTTGCATAAATTAGCATCACGCATCGGGGTCCCGATTTGGCAACAATGGGAGAAATCTGAAGAGATGATGATCTGAGAAATGAATAGTTTTTCAAGGGCCAATTGCTAAATGCAAATTAACCCTCAAATGTCTATTTTAAACCATATGGCTAACTTCCTGGGTCACTTTGGGCAAGGACTCTTGAGACTTTTTTGTGGCTCCCATAAAAGACATATTTCTTGTTGCTGAGTGAAAATGGATTCACGGGTAAAATCAGACCCTAAAATTAACATTATTGGAGTTTGGTGTTTTACGGGGAGCGATCAGATTTCATCAAATCTTCCTATGTCTTTTTAGTCATGGATTCTGAGACTTTTTTTTTTGGTGGGTCTACTCATGACAGTTGTGCCTACTAAATTTCATCCTGCAAAGAGAAACTTGATTTACGGGGACATCGGCTTTCTTTCTTTTGTTTTTTTGTTTTTTTTGTTTTTTTTTTTGCTATTAAGCTGAGGTCTGACGTTTTTGTGCTCACCCTGGTTGCTATTTGGAACTGTTTGTAACTCCCTACACCTTGACCGAGGCGGCGCTCCAGCTGCAGAAAAACAGCCGCACTGTCGGTATGGTGTTTGTTTGGTGTTGAGCAGTGTTCTTCTCACCAAACATACCTTTTGGAATCAGGGCCAATAATTTCAACCTTTGTCTCATCAGACCACAGCAAAATATCCCACATACATTGGGGAAACTGTCCTATTACACCAACAGTGACAACTTGGTGAGCCTCATGAATGTCAAGTCCTTCCCATGAGGTTTACCCGAGCAAGTCCCAAGTCCGAAAATTATTGAGTAAGCCCCCCCCCCCGACCTGTGCTTCACAGCATCATGTATAGCTTGTCATTCCCACAACAGGACCCAAAATACAGAATGTTCATCTCTTCATCTCCATGAAGACATTATTCATACCTGATGTCGGGCTGAGTTGCTTGTAGGACGGCGAGCTGCCACCGGGGTGGGTCTCCCCATGCCCTCGCGCCTCCTCCCTGTTCCTTCCCCTCGCTTCCCCCCTCACTCTGTCCTCCTCCGCGTCCGCGTTGTCCTCTGCCGCCGACTCGCCGTCCGATGGCTCGGGGGAGGTGACGTTCACCTCCACGCTCGTCTCGCCGGGTTCTTGAGACCTTACCACCGCCACCGGCAGCCTGTCTGACTCGGAGTGGCAGGAGGAGGCGGAAGAGGGTGGCGGCGGGGTAGCGTGGGTGTCGGCGGCGGGCGTCAACTCGGCCTTGGTGTCCTCGGTGGAGGCCTCGGTAGTTCCTGACGCCTCCTTCTGCTTCTGGAGCTGCTCCTTCTGCAGGCTGCGCTGCTTTTTGCGAAACTTGGCTCGCCGGTTCTTGAACCATACCTGAAGGTGAGATATGCATTTTTTGGTCACAAAAAATAACACTGTGACACCGATGATAGCTGCTAGCCTGTCGATGATTTTTTGCATTGTTTGTTAGCATTAAGCTAAACAGACTTGATTGATGCCAAGTTTTTTTGCCTTAACAATTCCCACAGATCACACAATTCCCTTTGTTTGACGTTTAGTTTGACAGTACGCTTCTACTTTGTTCAACAGTGCCAACCCTTTTTGTCAAGAAATATTCGCTGTCTGCACCGCTGTTACTAGTTGTGAAGTGTGTCACTGCCACCATACAGTGCTTGTATCTCAAATTATTGCTCTCATGTCACAGAAAAAAATTATTATCCTAACGACGGGTCTTATCTCTTCAGCATCTTACCTGCACTCGGGCCTCGGGCAGGTTGGTGCACATGGCCAGACGCTCCCGCATGACAACATCCGGGTAGTGCGTCTTCTGGAAGGTCTTCTCCAGAGCTTCCAGCTGTTGAGCCGTAAAGGCCGTCCTGCTGCGTCGCTGCTTTCGGTGCTGGGAGCCGTAGCGGGCCTCCAGGATGATGTCTTGAAATGTACAGCCGTTGAGAGGAAAAACAAACCACGCGGCACGTTTAATTCAGGCTCCCTCCGCCGCAGAGCGGGTCGACGTTGACTCAACATCACCAGCGACTGATACTTACCAGCCAGTCTTTCGGCCAGCGTGAGGGCATGCACTGACGGCCGGTAGTCGGGGGCATGCTGGGCTTGCTGCGCCGCCTGCTGGTGGAGGTTATACATGGCGCTGAGGGAGTTCATGGCGTGCAGGGAGTAGCCGTTTACCCCGTAGTGCTGCATGACCTGGGGAAAGCATCGGGTTAGTGTCAAGCCTGTTTCCTACTTTTATTGTGCCAAAGTGGATATTTTGCATTCGAAAAAAATTCAAGGCACAAGTCCAAAGTGGATACGACTTTTCTTGTACCTTCTGCCATTTAATAGGAGAGCTTTTGCCTGTCACTAAAAGTCACTGGCATAGATAGATGAACAAAGATACATCATATATAAGTAGTAATTTCTGTCTAGGTGGTGTTGAACTATACTGTACTGTATTCTGCAGAGTGCAAGTAGAAATTCTCCATGAGGAATTAGCACCACTGCAAATGGAGAAATTAACTTGAAGGAAGCATTATTATTTTTATGGTTGAGTTTGGTGTTGGGTCATTGAGGTGGCAACAGGTGAAAAGACGCCAGCTATGTGTGTGTGCGGGCGTGCGTGCATGTGCGTGTGTGTGTGTGTGTGTGTGTGTGTGTGTGTGTGTGTGTGTGTGTGTGTGTGTGAGAGAGAGATTTAGAATTGGCATCAATGAATTGTAACTTATCCGGAACAGTAAGGTTGCATTTAAAGCTAATTTTCTCGAACTTAATGTCATGATTGACGAAAAGAAGATTTTTACATGATGATGAATATAATGTTCAATTTAGTTGTATATTTCAAAAGTCATGGTTCACAAAAGATTCACAGTTGAAATTAATATTAGCCAGTGTAAATAGCACTTAAATAACTATACAATTACCTGTGGCGATATCTTATAAATGAGGATTTTTAATGTCAAAATAAATTTTAAAAAAAACAATAATTTTATTACAATTCCAACCTCATGGAATTTACAGAACATGTTTCAATTAAATGAAAAATGTTTAACAATAGAAGAGGTGTGATTACGTTTTTTTTTTTAGGATAAACGGTGTTTATGATGATTCGTTGTCATCATCAATTTATTATGCATAGTCTTCCTATATTATGGGCCTACTTTGCAGGAAATAATTGGCACTTCTTATCGTGATGTTTTTTTTTTAAATATAGTTTCTAGTTTCATTGTGTCCTCTGTTATCAAAATATGTTTTTCTAGTCATGTTAAAAAAAACATCTGACAATGACAACTTTTCTGTTTTGTGCTTGGTATTATTTCTGCTTTGAAATATACGTTGTTACGTTCATCTCAATACCTTTTTTTTTTTTTTTTTTTAAAGCCGACGAAGGGTACAATTTATTATAAATGAGCGGTCCACATAAATTGTTTTCTTTGCTGTGCGACAGCTTAACCCGTTTTTTTTTTCTTCTCCCCGGGTCCTGCATGGCTCCGTGTAATGTTCCGAACGCCTGCAGGCTGACTGACACATTTACGTGGGGTCCCCATGGACTCCTGTCTAATGTGGGTGCAAATAGGTTTGAACTGTACCGGACTATTAATTTATCATCTGGCTGACACATGAAAGGTCGAGCAGCATGTGTGTGCGCGCGCGCGCTCGCGTCACTGGGTAAATGTGTATGTGTGAGTTCAAATTTCCTTGTAAAATAACATGATCTCGTATTCTTTTGCCAACATCCACCCGAGGCAGTATTCCTGTAATCTGCACCGTTTTAAGATGCATTAAAGAAGAGAATAAATATCAACATTGTCGTCTTTCCGGACACGTGGCTGCGGGCTGTGATTTAACCCTCATTATGCTAATTGCCGTGGATTTATGAGTTACGCAGCATTTGGCTCCGGGCGTGGAAATTGTATTGAAAACATTATGGGAAGGAAGGAAAAAAAGTATTTTATAGTGAGAATAAACTCGCTTGAAATGAAGGTAAAAAATCAGCAGATAGCTTATATACAATTAAAATATTTGCCCCAAAAATAAAATGTAAAATACTGTGCAAAAAAAGTATTTATGAACCGTTTTCGCAACATTCATTTTTGACATGCAGTAAATAATAGGACACGTACATGTGTGCAGAGAACCCGCAAACAAAAATACAAAACCAGTTTCCTGAAAAAAATGTAATATATTGGAAGTAATCCCAATAAAGGTGCCGTTACGGATCTTTGTTTTATTTTTACCACGTGAGTCACAAGATAGACTTACAAACAATGCAAAGTGATAACGAGTTTTTCCTCATTTATTTGTCGAAACATTATGATTATATTATTATTATTATTGCACTACATTTACAAAGAATATTTTCCCCATTTTAACAGAAAATAAATAACACAAAAGTAAAATTGGGGTTCACGTTAAAAAATATATAATTTTCAATCAACTTACCTTTCCTCGTTTTTCTCTCTTCAAGTAAAATATCTCCACCCGCTCTCGATTATTGTCCTCCTAAAGCGCCACACCCCAAATCCTCACATTTTCATTATTTGGTTTAAAAATATAATTTAAATGTTTCCGTTTATACTTTGCGCGTATCCTGAAAACATCCTGGTTGATTCCTGAAAAGTGGAGCGGATGCTTGTGGCGTCCATCTCTCGGCCCTTTTAAAAAAAAATGCATGGGCGCGGTGACATCACCACAGTGCTGTCCAATCATGTCGCTTTCCTCCAATTAGCAACCCCGCCCCATTCCACCACTAAAGTTTAGCACCGGTACTTTCCTGCCAACCCGCATGCTTAATTTTCGTAGCATTTTATGTTTTGTTTAAAACATGGTTACTTTAATCGGCGTTATTAATATAAAATTACATTCATATCAATTTTTTACATTTGCATTTAAATAAGTATATGTGGACGTCGTACGTTAGCGTCTGCACTTTCATGCCACCGTCTGACAATTAACGATTACGTATTTATTTGGGCCATTAGTTTTATTTAATTTACAGTAATGCACAAATTCGACGATTGTATGTCATGTGTACAAAAGAAAATTAGTGCCTTTCGGCAACAATAACCTACTGTAATTTAAAAAGCTATTGTGTTGAACGGTAATTGTGGCGACAAATGAGCTTTAAATGGTTGCATTAAGTGTTTTTTTGTTGTTTTTTTTTAGTTAAATTAATTTGTTCCCGTGTTATTTAGCCGCCGTTTATCGGAAAGTCATCCGAGCTCCTCCCTGCACATCTCCCGGTCGGACCCCCGAGTGATGTGTTTGGGGGTTCAAGATTTGGTCGCCAAGACGCCATCTCACTCGCACCACTCGCAGAAAAAAAAAACGTCTTCCAATGACTGCAGCTAAGAGGATTAAAACACTAATGCCCCGCTCCTCTTCAAGCTTTTTTCCTCAAAAGATTTCGTCTCCGTGATGGGAAAAAAAAGCGTCTAGGTTTTGGAATTAAGGGCAGCGAAAATAAGACAACGAAGTAGCCTTTTAATGTAAGTAAAGCTTGCATATTTTGTCGAGTGCAGACAAAAAAAAAGGGGGGGGGTGAGGAGGGAGAGTGCCGCGAGGTGCTCAACTTGACTGGAGATTTTTGGACACGTTTGCAGTCATGCAGCGTGGGAAAAGAAAATTAACAATTGATGTTTTGGTTGTATGACCCCAACCCATGCAACAGATGGTTATCCGTGCACGTCGGCCTATTTATCTAATCAATTAAAATAAAACCAAAAAAAAAAAACACATTACAGGTCTGATTTGTTTGAAATATTTCGAATTTTGTTCCCCCCAGGCTATAGAAAGCACCGCGTTGCCTTTTGGCCCAAAGAGCAAAGGACAATCGGATTAAGTTTGTGAGCCAATCAAAATCAGACCTCTTCATTCCCCGTTTGAGCAAACAATTTAGAAAGCAATTAAAACAAAAAAAGGAATCACCTCAAATCTACCTTGAAAGTCATGGATTATGGTTCCATGAGAGTGGAATCCATTAAAAATCATCAAGTATGTACAGAGCAGTTCACATTATTTCAACAGTTGAATGAGATTTTCAAATAAATAATGAACCATGTTAATATCCAAAATGAAAAAAAATAGAGCAGATGACATTATTTCATCAATTGAATGAGGTTTTAAAATAAGAAAGAACGAACCATATTAATATCCAAAATGAAAAAAAATGGAACACTATATTCACATCCTATTTTATCATTCACTAAACCACACATAATTTTTCTTGAAGGGAATGACTCGACCATATTTTTACCTGCAACCTATGTTAAATAAATAAACTCGAACGTTGACTCAAAAGGGCAGAAAAAAAAATGGATGGATGGAAAGATTTGTCTTTAACCCTTTCATGCACCAATAATGACAACCTGTAACCTGATAACGTGATAAAGGGTTAAAGAAAAATGTATTTCAATATAACGACACAAATGATTTTTTAAAAATGATGTAACCATGTCAAAAGGAATGTTAATGGATAGATAAAAGCAAAATAATTTAAAAAATGCTTAAAATGATGTGTAGGAACAGCAAATGTTGTATATTGGGAATTGTCAATGTATGATTCTTTGTGTCTAAAAACAATTGTTTCTCAACACGCAGACACTTTTTGGACAAAGAAAAGCAAGTCAAACAATAAATTCTCCTCTTCTGATTGATTTATTCAAAGTTGCAGCTCATCGGCTTTCATTTGACAAATTTGCTCTCTTAGGCTGCTTTTGCCTCTGCTGCTGCTGCGCTGGAAGTTTTTCCGCTCTCCTCTTGCAAACGCGGCCGTTCATTGTGCTCACCTTCAAGCTGCTAACTTTCCTAAACCTCGAATTCATCTGAGATTTCCCTGGATTTCCCGGGCGCGCTCATTGTTCTGTGCGCCGGGCCCCGCATTCAGCCCCCACTTTTTAAGCTCCTCTCCAGATCTAAGTCATCGCCTTTCCTCTCCATCATCCTCTTCCCGCTCTCCAAACTTTTATCCCTGCATCAGGACTCGAGGCGGCTGAGCCGAGGCGATTTATGAACCTCGTTCGGTTTTTAATCAGGTTTTAGAACGCCGGCGTGTTTGTCATTTCACTCCTCCAGTGGCCACTGCAACAGCCTCGTGCGTCAAGTCGAGGAGAAAGTTGACGCCTTCAGCCTTCAGAGCCCATTAACTTGTATCATTAAGCTTTCTTGAACTTCATGAATATATTAGTTGGCGGGGGCCCGGGCGCGTGCTCGCCGTCAAGGTTAGCCCCGCACGCGCGCTCATTTGGGTGAAATTAATCATTTTGATGTATGGCTCGGAATGGAGCGCTTCCAAAGGGACTCCTGTGACTGGAGTAACAAAAGGGAGCTGCCATTAGTGGTTCTCGGACTTGCAATTAGACCTCAAACTCGCTGGCGCCACGTGTTGGTATTGGGGCGATCTTCTGGTCCGGGAGGATTTGGCAAATGATATTCGTCACGCAGGCCTCACATGCTGCTGGACGCTTGCTGATAACTGTCCTCTCAAAACAGTTTGGTCACAAATAGGCCCAATTATGGATCAAAAATGGATTGATCCACGTCTCGGGTCCAAAAAAAAAAAAATTCTATTGAGCAACCCCCAAATTTGGATTGGTTTGTATTGAAAAAAAAAAACTTCTAGAGGTTGGTCAAATTGATCTAGGGTGTCAAACTCAAAGCCCCGGGGGCCAGATCTGGCCCGCCACATCATTTTATATGGCCCACGAAAGCAAATCAAACATGTCAACTTCCATGATGCTTGCTAAAATCTTGACCAAAATGTCCAAATCTCGTATTTAATAAATAAGAGACATATTGTAAGCATTTTCTTGTAACCAAACCCCTCATTACAGAAATTTAAACAACAGCTGAATAAACCATCATAATTGCCTTTTAAAATTTTGGGTTCAGTCATAACGGCCTCCCCCAAAAGGAAACGGTAACTAAAATGTGGCCCATGACAATAGTGAGTTTGACACCCCTGATAATGAACCTGTCCGTTTTTGACGCAACCCTTTCCAATATGCGGCGCCTTACTCAAGGTGTAGGGAATTACTAACAGTTCCAATATGTACTCTAAAAACTCTCTCAAAACAGTTAGGTCAAAAAAAACAAACTGTAAAATTGTATGATGACTTTCACTGGCTTGAAAATAATCAACTGAATTGCAAGAATGTCCCTCGGATGTTTGATGGATGAAGTTTGTTTCTGTTTCTGGACAGGTAGCGGACATGCTGATGCGTCAGTGCCAAAGCAGCTCCGGAACATCCTCGTAAAGACCTTTCCCCACTTCTGTGAAGGTGACCACAAGTTTTCCTCACTAGTTTATCCCGGCGCGATCCCCGCGGAAGGCAACCCGAGGCCGCGCTCGCGAGCGCTCCCCTCCTCGCAGACGTTGACATATCGAGGTTGGCAGGTTTGTTTCCGCCCTCTTTTTCAGAGCCGCGCTTTGCTTGTGCCCCTCGGGCTGCGGCCCAGCACAAGGGTTCCTATTGTCGGGCCCTAATCCAGGGGCTACACAGCTTTAGCAACACGGTGGGATAAAAGCCCATCAAACCACTACTTTACGGGGGAAAATCTTTCCTAATCCCTCGCTTTATCGAAACAAAAGGAGAGAAACAAGAGGAGAGAAAGAAATTGTGCAGACACAGGGCAAGAGAGGGAGCTAAGATGCAAAGTAGTAGTTTCACTGGAGAAGCTAACCATTTTTGACAGGCTTTCACTAAACGATTGACACAAAACGGACACCCGGATTCCCAAAAAAAAAAAAAAAAAGGGCCATTCAGGGTCTCTCTTTATTCTCAAATTGAGCTTTAAAATCCTCAGCGGGATATGTTGAAATTAGCCAGATTAAATTCCAGAACCGTAAAAGGACTTGCGAGGGGACACCTGTCATTAGTGGAAATGGTTCTCAGTTTTGCACGGATAATGTAAACTACGAGATCTTGAACTTTGGCTTGGGGGGGGGGGGGCACGTATGGGAATGTGTCTTGTTTTGACTGTGACCTAAAAAAAAAAAAGATCCCGGGTCAGGAAGAATTGAGCCGAGCCCTCGTGTGGGAATTCCCGCAAAAGACGCTGAATGGCAGCGACAAACCCTAAGTCGGTTTCTACCAGCTTGCGGACGCGTCGGCCTTTTGTGTGAGAGGACCTCCCGCATACACCCGGGCTCATCTCGTTGTTACGTATGACGGACGGATCCTCGTGACCCCGTTTCACTGCCAATTCCAATTTGTGTCTCGGCTCTCCAATCCCCAAGCGTCGCGTCGGGCAAATGACCGCGCTCGGCATTTCCATTTTCGAAAATGCACCACCAGAGGACCATTTGGGTCCCGAGGAGTGTGCTGTAGAGAGTGAGAACAGGTCGCTTTGTTCTGGTTCTCCAAGTCCATAAACTAGCATCGCTCCGAGGCTCTCAGGTGACGACGATAATTTACGAGCTGCCAGCACATACTGTACCTTGTCCTCACGACACTTGACACTTCGGGATTTAAAAAATTTAAGATACATCATGGGTACAAATGGACTTTGCTGGAATGGTATTTGCCGTCTTCCGACCCCCACCCCCTCGCGCGTTGCCCTGTTACCCCCTGGAAGGGGGGTAATTAAGAGATAACAGGCCTGGGATGCTCATGAGGGAATGAGTGATTAGTGATTCATTACATG